TCAAGTCCCACACTTTCTGAATCTGGTACATCAGCTGGACGAGATTCTCAAGCGCAAGGCCTCGCAACTATACACAGACCCTGGCTCGGCGTCTTCTACCAGTTCTCAGTCTGCTGAACGATGCACTCTGCCCTCTGGCAAGGCTCGTCCTCCTACACCGCCAGCTCCCAAACATCGACGAACTGACGAGGCTCCGGAACAGGACACTCAGTAAGCATCTTCAGTGCACTAGGCACTGCCGGTGGAGCCAGCTACCAGAGAGCAAAACTCATTGCCATGCGTTTTCCTGCATCTGCACTCAGCTGCTTTGTAACTAGGTCACAGGGCTCAAGCTACCAGTGGCAGGTAGCACACAGTGCAGCACGGATTCGTCACAGACGATATCTCCCACTCACGCTGGGATGTAGCGTGCTCCCTATCCTGATGGAGGGCATGAGGATCTTGGTCGGAGCCACATGCCTGGACTTCGACGACCAGGGAACTGCTATGATACCCCCCGAGGACCTTCTTGAGCTTCTCGACAGCGCTTTCAGCCTTCTTTAGGAGCCCGTCCGCTTTCGACCACTCGGCCTCTGACAAGGCCGCTGGCACGGCAGGCTCCTCCTTCTTGTCCTCGATGGCTGGCATCGCCGCGGGCGGCGGAGCAGCCGATGAGGCAGCGGCGTTCCTGAGGTCCTCCTCTGTCGGCTCAGGCCTTTCCATCGACACACTGTCGAACAGGACTTGGAGTTGTCCTGCTTGGGACCCAGAGACTCTCGCAGCCTCGGGCTTGATCGCTGCCACGTTCTTTCGCTCGTCCATCGAAGTGGACTTCAAGGTTCGCCATTGACAGAACACCACCTTTCATTGGGTGACAACGGAGACTTCATGATTCAAGATCGCGGCCCTTAGCTGCTCATCCGACAACCCAAAGCGCCCTTTAAAGAGCGTTCTCGGCAATCCTTTGTCTCCCCACCCAGTGGTCTGCTTCTTCTCCAGACTGCTTTCCCCCGTCACTTCTGCGGTGTCGCAGGTGAGGGCAAGCTTCCCTGTCTCGGGGTCACGACTCACTGCGTCTTCGATAAACTTCGTCAGGTTCTTCCTGCAGCCGTTGCCGCCGGAACTCAAAGCCTCCCACTCCGTCTTCATTTTCTCTGGCACTGCTCCTGCTGCGAGCAACACGTTGAACTTGAACTGCTTGCTGCGGTCTCGTCGACCCGCCCCACCAGCTTGGCTTCCTTCCTCCGGCTCTTCTGCTGGAGTCTCGCCGGACTCCTCAGGCTCAAGCCCATTGATCCAGTCGCCAGTCAAGGCCTCTGCCATGCTTCGCTTCCTTGTGAAGGCCATTGCCTTCGGGTCGGCCTTTGCCTTGGGGTCGGCCTTCGCTTTGGGCTCGGCCTTCGCTTTGGGGTTGGCCTTGTTGTCTTTGGGGTTGGTCTTCTTCTTGGGGTCGGCCTTCGCCTTGGGGTCGGCCGTGGCCTTGGCTTTGGGTGCTGTCTTGGCCTTCGCTTTAGGGTTGACAGGGTCGGCGGGCTTGGGTTTGCACTTCGACTTGGGCGTTGTGGGTGCTGGGTTCGGCTTGGTCTTCGCTTTGGGCCCTTTGGGCTTAGCAGGGTCGGCCTTGGCTTTTGGCTTTGCGGGTGCCTTGCTGGGTGCTGGGCTCGCCTTCGCCTTTGCTGTGAACAGCCTTCCCCCCTGGCTTTCCTCCCGACTTCAGGATCCCCGTCTTGGCTTACTGGGCTCGGGTGCTGGGGTCTCCTCTTCCTCCTCCTGCTCCTCCTCCTCTACCTCCTCGTCGTTTTCCTCTTCTTCCTCTTCTCCTTCTGGGTCCACTTCTTCCTCAACCTCCTCTGGAGCCTCTTGCTCCTCTGCCTCCGATCGCTTTGGCTTTGCCATAGCTGTGTGCGGCCACAAAAAAAAGATCTTGTGCAAAAGATCGCTTCGGCAGAATGGGCTCCACGTCTCAGTGTCCATGACCGAAATTTTGGCTCCCACTTGGCTGGTCGAAGACCGCATTGCAGGCCACACGTCGGACATGGGTTGAGGGGGATGACGACAGCTACAGAGCCCACTCAGGGTCCAGGGACATGTCTGACCTAGAAAACATCAGCCTTCGTCAAACAATAACAATGCAACATCCCTGAACCGAAATTCAGAGCTCAAGGGAAAGTTCAAAGGACGCCACTATGCTGCCATCGTCAACCTGTCGGAAACAACCGGCTACAGTAACAGTAAAGTTAGAGCCACCACAGTACTGTTGACGGACAGCTGGCGAAAGCACTACTCCTAGTTGGCCCGTGCATCTGGAAACACTCGGTAAAGAACAACTAAAGTTAATGCCACTCAGTACAGCACGAGGCCAGCTCATATTCCGTGTATTTACTGCTCCTAGTTGGCCCGTGCATCTGGAAACACTCGCTAAAGAACAACTAAAGTTAATGCCACGCAGTACAGCACGAGGCCAGCTCATATTCCGTGTACTACGGGCCGCCCCGAAGCCCAGTACGGTATTTCTTGTTTCGAGGTCTGCAAGTTGTTTTGGATGGTTCACAGGCTGCAGTCGCTCTCAACACAACTCGCTCTTGTGCCTAGCAGGCTTCCATGTGCTTCGTCATGGCAGCTTACCAAGCTGTCGGTCGCCATCTGGACTGAAAGCATGTCTGCCGCATTCAGGAAAGGCTCACTGAGCAGTCGAGGTCGCACCAAAGACAGCTTAGAAGGGAACCAACTGGTCTCTTTCGCGCGCTCGCGCAGGATCCCTTCGCTTCACACTGACCTGTGACCACACCAGCTGTCGCCGTCACTGCGACAGGGTCATGTTCATCAGGGTGCTTTCAAGTGCCTTGGTAGTGCAGTCACCAGTAGGACCAGATCTGTGCATGAAGTCCTGACCCACATATGGAGCTGTCATCGGCGGAGCCTCGAGGCTACAGGACGTTCCAGAGTCAGGGCCACAGCAGTCACTAGGCAGCACAGGGCAGCAACGGAGCACAGTTGGCATGACTCGTCTCGAGCGCGGGTCTTCCAGGATTCGAGAGGCGGCAGCTGTTTGGCTGATCTCCCAGCCCCAGTCTCGCAGTATAGCCAAGGTCCATCGCATGTAGGGTCCATGGCATCCGCGGGTTCGCAGGTTGGTGGTTTCTAGAAAGATAGGGTTGGGAAAGGAAGACACTACAAAAAGTACATAAAGACCCTTAAAGCCCTAAGGTTCTAAGGCACCAGTGGTCCGGCGGGAAGACTGACGAAGAGAGGTCGTGACAGCAACAGCAACGACCAAACAAGGGACAGTGCTGGGACGGAGCAAGGGACAGTGCAGTGCAGTGCAGGGTAAGGGCAAGTCAAAGGGCAGTAGAGCAGTAAAGGAAAAGCAGCGCAGTGGGCAATAAGGACTGCAGTGCAATACAGTGCAAGGCAAGGGCAGAGCAGGGCGGCAAGTAGTACATAGCGATGCGGCCAAGGCTCAGGATGCGTGTATTACACACGCCTGTTTGCGGAACCAAGGAGCAACCCTAGTGCAGCCGAGGATCCCAAAACAAATTTGCTGCCAAGGCACATCCCCAAGTCCTAAGCCTACACCCAATCCCAACCAAACTACACAGAAGAGCCAAGGATCACCTGGGGCCTACGGCCTCGGGCGGGGTGTCGAGTCCGTCATGTAAAACAATGACATCATGTGCGTCCCATTCTACGGGTTCATGACCTATACGCAGGGCCTCATGCAAGGTTAGCTGCCTCAGAAGGGGTTCCCTACCATACATGCTGGCTCGGTTGGCTGCCGCTATGTCCTGTTCAGTGGGTAGATGAAACCCTAGATCAAGGAGGCATCCCCTAACCCATGTTGTGAGCGTGCTGACATGTATGGTCGAAAACGCTACGATGATGATCCGGTCATGTGGCTCCGAAAGCGTGTGACCTGCGTGCAGACGCCTCCTAGAGTCGAAAAGGAGGGGCTCCGTGATGTTGAAAACGGTGCCTGGCACCTCTTGGCCTTTAAAGGACCTGGTATGTTGGCCTGCTGGGTCCTGCAACCAGAGTCCCTCGCCAAGGCCCACAGGTGTTAGCGCCTGAATAAGGGCTTTCAGTGGTCCGTTGCGAGAATCTCTGTGAACCTCGGTGTAGCATCCTGAGCGTATGACGAAGGTGGTGTAGGCGTGTTTGGGGTTCAGGAATGCTAGGTACTTACTGATTACCATGGTAAACAGGGGCAACTGCAGGGACGAGCTGAGCACCATGTCTGGGTTCCTCGGCGATGCTCCTCCTACCACGTACTGGCCATACGGGGAGGTTTTCAAGACCGAGGGCGGGAGCATGCGAAACAATGAGACTAGGTCACGTTTGCAAGGAGGCCTCGTTTTTCGGAGGGTTTGGAGGGCCTTGAGTTCTACTCGCCTGGCGCGGGGTTCATATGTTGGGTGGGGGAGCTTATGCCTGGCTAGCGAGGTGGGCTCTCCCTTCCTGTGCGGCGTGGAGCAGTCTTCGTCACTAGAGCTGTCTATGACCTCAGGCTCCACGCGACAGGACTGCTTGCAGGTTGCACGACTGGGCGTTGCGAGGTCAACTACGGTGCCTGGTGCTGGTCGCAGTCCTACAAACATGTTGCAAAGAAGTGTCCCACCCAAGCACGAGCCCAGACTGCGCAACATGTCGGTATCAGCGCCAAGACTAACTAGATATGTGCAAAGGACAAGAGTGCGTTGCAGGCTACTGATGCGAAAGGCTTTTTGGTTGATCGAAGCACGTCAAGGGCAAGGGCAGTTCAGTGCGCAGGCTACAGCAAAGGGTTCAGGGCAGTACTATACAAGGTGCCGCAGGCAGTACAAGGCAAAACAGTTCAGGGTTGTCCTAAAGTCGTAGCTGCAAGATTGCAGGCTTCGGTGTGGCAGCAGCCCGATTCCGATCAGGGGAGGATTCGCACGGGATTACATACCGTCATTACTTCAAGCAGGTACGGGCTTAGGCTACGGCTGCTCGGGGGCTGGGACACAGATCTCAGACTTGTCCATGACATCAGGTGCCCGCGATCAATCGCTCAGTGGGTGCTGGCCGGCAAGTGCCCTCAGGAGATGTTGAGGATTCCCCAGCATCACTGCTGCCGTCGGTCCCGGGCCCTGCTGCCATCCGCCGCCCGCCGGAGTCAAGTGCACGAGGTTCGGAGCATGCTGTGGTGGCGGTGGTACAGTCGTCTGGGACACCACCGGTTGGTATGGCGGCGGAGGTGCCGGGGCCGTGGCCACATGCGATCGGAGCGCCTCCAAGGAGCCTTCCAAAGCACTGAGATTGTGCTTGACCTCATCGAGCATGGTCTGCATGTCCCCAAACTTCTCCAACAGAGCTGTCTCCGACGGGCTGGGCCCCGCGACTCTGACGGCCGCCAAGGTCTTCTCGCTGATCTCGAGTCCCCTCTCAGAGACCTCCTTGCTCTCTTGCGCCGCCGCCATTGCGGACCTGCCGATACCCGACAGGCCAGCAAACCCATTGTGCACCTTCGAACTCAAGGTCGAGAGCTTCTTGAGTATCTCCATGTGGCGTCGCTGCGTTTCTGTCGTAGCGTCTTTCATCACCTGGCGGTGGTCCTTGAAGCTCGTGGCCAAAGCCTGGAGCTCGTGTGTGACCCCTCTGATCTGGTCCTGAGTGCCATCGGTGGCCGTCTCGAGGTATGCATGTCTGCGGCCGGCTAAGTCACTGAGTTCATCGACCTTGCCCATCAGCTTGTCCTCGATCTTAATGATGCCCTGCGTGGCGCTCGTGATTTTGTCGAGGTCGGCTTGCAAGCTGCTGACCTTGGACACGAGGGCATCCACTTGTGGCGTCGAGCTGCCTTCGAGGGTAGTCTGGAGCTCCGTGAGCTTAGCCAAGAGGGTGTCCAAGTGGTCCATCTTCGACTTGAGGGCATCCACTTGGTGTGCTGGGTTGCCGTCGAGAGCAGTTTGGAGCTCCGCAAGCTTGGTCAGGAGGGTGTCCATTTTGCTCTGGTCTTCAAGGACTTCGGGGAAGCTTTTCAGGATCTCACTTTGCCCTGCCTGCAACTTTCGGAGGGGCTGCAACACCACTTGGGTCAGCTCGCTTCCCATCCAGTGCTTGAGGCCCTCAATGGCATCCTCGGTGACCTCCTGGCTCACGGGAGCATTGGGGGCAGGAGCCCCATCCATGGCACTGTGTGGGCTGGTTGGCTGCAGAGTAGGAGCGGTTGTCCCAGGTGCATCCGGAGCCGAGTCACACAGAAGATCAGGGAGCACTGCATCTGATGGATCTGGGAGCCCCGGTGGCGGTGAGGGCGAGGTCGCCGTCGTAGTTGGCATTGCCGTCATGGACGCCCCTGGTGCCGGTATCTCCACAGGCTCGTGCATGGCAGGCGGGGCCTGCTGCTGTTGCTGCAAGACCCAAAACAAAACCATGCCGCACAGCCCGCAAAGGACTCCGACGAGGAATCCGAGCATCGACGAGGCTTCCACCATCACGACTGAAGTCGGAGTGAGAGTGAGCCCACAATCGTAATCGCAAAGTGTCTTGACACAAAAGGCTGCGAGCGACAATTGTTTGGCCGACCCGCCCCCCCCCCCTGCACAACTGCAACTGCAACTGTGACATCATCAGGCAATTGGAGCAGAGTGGAACATGACGCAAACATGTATGCTCCTAAGCAAAGTGGGACATGACACGCAGTGATCGAAGGCATGCTAGTTTAGAGGCCGTGGCTTGACAAAGAGACTAGGCGAGCCAAGGCACGAAGATGCCAGTTGTGTGTGGGACGACTGCTGCGCGAGACATGCTGTGCGTGTGGTATACGGTGCACGAGTGCGTGAGCGTGCGTGCCTTCTTAGCGTAGTGGTCTGCCACTTCGTTGAGCAAAAAGCCCTTATGAGCACGGACGTGGCAGGCCTGCACATAGCAGGAGAGCTGACTCCACCTACAAAGCAAATCATTCGTTGCTGAGGCATAATGCGTCCCGATAAAATCTCCGTTCATGACCTGGAGCACGTATTGCGAGTCCGTACAGAACTGCACTGGAAGTTGCGGAAAGCGACGCCGGATCTCCTGGATCATTCTGAGGGCATGAGCCGCAGCTCGAACCTCGGCCTCGATGTTACTACAAGGTCCTGGGATTCGGAAGTAGCTGACGATCGCATCCTGAATGTTCCCATAGGGAGGGAGAATGACAACTGCTCCTCCCCCGGGTCCTGCGGCGTGTCGACCTTGTGGAGCGCTTCCGTCCGAAAAAACCCTAAGCAGATGTTCGGACTGACCGGGGTCCGTTATCCGAGCCTCGGGTTCCAAATCGACGCAGAGAAAGGAAGACGGATGAGCCGTTTCAACTGGGACATGCCTGACTGGCAGCAGCGAAAAGACATCACCATTCTGCAAGAGCATGCGACCTCGCAGATCCAAGTGTTGTAGCGGCAGTTCATAGTACTTCGTAAGACTGCAACTGTTAGCTTCGAGCCAGTACTTGACAAAGTCTCTCCACCGACTGCGGTCTTGCGCGCCTTCTACCCAAGAGAGAACCGGTCCTACGTAGTGTGTGTGTGTTGCAAGTAGGCTTCCCACTCCAACTGGATGAACCTGCTGGAATCGGGTGCTCTCCCGGGCTTAGCTCTGCGGATCCTGGTGTGGTTGCGTAGCAGCCATGCAGGTCCTCGTACCTGGATCATGAGTCGTAGTGGGATTCGATCGCCCTCGTCGTACCGCGCAGCATGGCCCCAATAGGTCCAAAAGGACTGGGCCTGAATGGCCTCCCACTTTTTATGTTGTACACACTGAGCGGCAGCACGACTAGCGCGCCGACGCGACAGCCATGCATCGACCGAGCCTTGAAAGGGATCACGTGTAAAGCCTAGGATTGCCGTAAGGAACGTGGTGTGCGCTCGTTTCAAGAATGTTCTGACAGTCTGCAAAGGACGAGCAGTGGGGGACATCCACCTCCACCTTGCTGTGATAAAGCAATCGAAAACTCGTAATCTCTGAGTCAGGCCTACCCCTGCCTGTCGGAGGATCCTGAAATACCCCCAAAAGGCGTTGCTGACTTTCGCCATGCGAGCAGCTAGGACGGAAACACAAGAGAGCTGGAACCCCAGTAGCACTCCCAAGAAAACCATAGTGTCGACAGCTTCGACTCCGAGGCCACTCTGAAGGCGGAATGGACTTTCCGAGGCCCCCGGGGAGTGCAGGAACTTGCACTTCTTGGCATTGAAGTGCAGGCCAATGGCTTGCAGGGTCTCTTCGCAGTCCCGCAGGAGCTTCTGGGTTTGCTCCCTAGAAGTTCCAAGCAGAACCAAATCGTCAGCGAATGGTGTCAGGAAAAGCTTGAGCCCAGCCTCGTCCGCGAGCCAGGAGCTCTCAGTGTCCTGCCATCTCTCCTGTGTGGGTGTCAGAAAGAAATCGATGCACCTGGCGAAGAGTTCCGCACTATAACTACTCCCTTGCAGGATGCCTTTGGTTAGGCATTGCTCCCATTTGGAGCCTTGGAGGCTCAGCTCAACCCTTGTATTCGTGATCAGCTCCAAAAGAATCTCGGCTTCCCTCGAACCTGAGGTGGTGGCGAGCAGTGCCGCCAATGCTTCATGGGAAACAGAATCGAACGCGGCTGTGATATCAAGTTTGACCACGTACAATGTTTTGTCGTATTGTTGTGCTAGGCGTATTGCGTGCTGGACAGCACACGCGGAATCGAGTGTTTGTCTCCCGGGGAGTCCCCCGACCTGACAGGCTTGGATCTTCGGCAGTTTGGGCCGAAGGCGAATCATCAAAGCCTTGGTGAACACCTTAGCGACTGTCGGAGACCGGAGCTGCCGTCTTTGGCAAAAAAATGACATGATTAGAGAACCAAGTAAGAGGCATTGGGCGCAATCCCCACAACACGTCATTGAAAAGTTCCAAGAGCTGCGTGGACAGACTGGTCTGCAGCAGTAGCTGAATGGCCTCGTAGCTGATCCCATCTGTCCCCGTGCTTTTGTTGTGCTTGCACTGAAAGGCGACTTCCTGGATTTCCTCCAGGGTGAAGGGGACAGGGGCTCCTATGGGTCCTGTGCGTCCTCTGAAAATTGCCATTGCCAAGCCACGCGGAACCTGATCATGCTGCGTGTACTTCAGTCGGTAAAATGCTCTGAGGTCGGAGACTGCCCGAACCGACCCGCCGGCTCGCATACAGTAAGAGCCTTGGGTGTATGCTGAGGAGTTGCGTTTCTTGAAGTAGCTAAGAGCTCTAAAATCGCCTCCAGCTCCTTGCTCAAGTAGGTTGCTCAGCCATGCTCTTTTAGCTGCTTTTCGTTCATCGGCTATACGTTTGGCCAGTTGTCTGGCTTGCTGGCCTCGAAGGAGCTTCCTCTCTCTAGCGAGCTGTTTGAGCTCAGGGGAGTCTTGGTAGCGGCAACTAGTGACACGTTTGGAGCTTTGTTGGCAAATGGCCTCCAAGCGCGCCATAGTCAGGTCCTGCATGCTCAGGTCAAGTTCCTCAGCTAGCTGTTCGCACTTGGAGGTGAATTGGGGAACGTCCGTCCACCATTTCCCACACGGAGAGTTTGCGAACCGACGGCGTCCCGATCGCCCGATGGTCTCAAGCGTGAGGGTGACCGCACTGTGGTCAGACCCAATAATCTCCTCACTACCTTCGAGAACTCTGTCGTCACGAACAGACATGGAAGGCAGAGAGAACAGAAAAAAGTCGAGACGCGATTGCGCCCCTCTGGTGTTACGCCAAGTGGCTGCTGCGGGCTTGCTGTGGGAGAGGCCTAGTTCTCTAAGGAGCCGGCCAAAGGGGATTCCCCTCTCGTCCACTCTAGCAATGTCCAAAATATCGTAGTTGAGGTCGGCGCACAGACAGATTAAGTCATGGTACCGCCTACCTGAGCAGAAGGCAAGGATCTCCTCGACCTGGGTGTGCCAAATGGGCACACAATCCTTGCGCAAATCATGCGGCAGGTGTGCTGTCATAAAGAACTGTCGCACCCCTTGATGTTTCAGGGTGATCCCAAGGCCAGTGCAGAAAGCCACTTTGGATTCGACCCTTCCTACCCATTCAGTTGGAATACCAACAGCACTCCCCCGAAACGAATGAGAAGGATCCGCGAAGAAAAACGTGAAACTACGGCCTGCGAGAAAGACCTCGTGGTGCAGGATTGAGTCTGAACTCGGGCATTTCTCTGGGAGGGCCCCAAGTTCCTGTAAAGCAATGACATCGGTGCCCGGCAGATCTGTGACGTCCCAAATGCGACTAAGGTCTTCAAGGGATTTTCCCCTGAGATTCCAAGACGCCACGTGGACCGCCGGCACACGTGGGGGTCAAAAGGCCCCGCCTGCTCCCATCGGTGTGGAAGCTGGGCCGTAGTCGAGCCAGGCCTGCTGCAGAGTTTCCTTAGCACGTCCTGTCACGGTCTCGTAAGCCTGCGAACTTAGAAACCATACTGTATGGTTGCCTTTGTTGTCTTCAATGATTTGGTCTGTCGGTAGGGGTTCTTGCCCATCGTCCATGTTTGGTTTGGCCGATAAACACTTGGCCCCTCCACACCATCTCGGGTGCTGGGAAGGGTGGGCGCCCTGCCAGCGGAGGGAGCTTCGTATAGAAGTTTTTAGTTAGCACCACCGCTCGGATTTTGAGCCGCTCTTCCAGGGGCCTATCTCGCTGGATCCAAAGCTCTACCTCGTTTTGGCCCTCAATCCCACTTCGGCACTTCATAGCCTTGAGTGTGTCAAGGATGTCTTTCTGAATTTGGCGCTTACGTGGAAGGCTGGCGTTCTCCGGAAAGGCCAGGGTAACACGAAGGAAATTGGTGCGGCCCGAAGGCCCCGAGAGGGCCTCTAGCAAGGTTTCAGATTTGGCTGCTCGGAACATGTTCCGGACCTCCTCTTCAGCCTCGTGGCTGCGGGCATCCGTCCAGCCTCCAATGACCAAGCCTAGATCCTGTAGGGGGTCTCGGTTGGCCTCTTGGAAGGGATCTCTGCTTCCTCGCGGGCTGCGGGGACTCAGGCCTCGCCCACGCGGTGTTTCGGGTGCATACCTAGCAGGCGTAGGGGAACGAGTTTGGTTTTTCTCAAGGTCTGCCACTACTTTCTCTAGAGCACTGAGACGAACTAGGGTGTTTTCATGGTTCTCTGTAGTCTCTCGCTGGCACGCTTCAAGATGACCAATGCGTGTGCCATGTTGTTGGATCGTGGCTCCCATCTCAACACAGTATCCATGTGTTTGGTCGCTCTTAGCATGTAGACTCTGTAGCGAGTTGACGAGGTCTTGCACCCACTCAGGCTGTTCGATGATTGGGGGGCGAGCAAGGTTAGGGAAGGGTCCTGTAGTAGGTGCAGGCTGTTGCGGCGGCGCCTCAGTGGATTTAAGTTCGTCATCGAGAGTGAGGTCGAATACTTCATGCTTTCCAAAAACAGCACTATGGTCTAGCACGCTAGGCTGGTCTCCTCCCGCCTCGTCAAGTTGAGTCATGAGTTCATCTTTGGGTTCCAGCTTGATTTTCTTGGGTTCTGGAGCCTTTTTGTCTGCATCTCCATCCGAGCTCGCTTGTCGTTCCTGGCCTACAGCACAAGGAAGGGGCTGTTCCAGCACGGCGTGGTGACTACCCACGAGTGGGAGCTTTGTGGCTGAGGTTACAGGCTGAGGCTTGGAGGGCTCGGAAGTTCGTGGCACTGCTGGGGAGGCTTCGGGGTCGCCAATCGCTACGTTCTCAGCCGCCTTGGAGTAAGGATTCACGACTGGGGCACCTGTGGCTGCAGTCTGAGCCTCACGGGCTTTGTTCCCACGTGCCCTCTCTCGTGTACGCCCTCTTTCAGATTCCCTGTGCATGTCTCTACCCCAGTAGTTGTTCTCGCAGTAAGGAAGGCAAGGCAGGCAGCACGAGCAAGGAAGGAAGTCAGTGCAAGTGAGACAGCAGTGCGGAGAGAAAGAGAAGGAGAGAGAGAGAGAGGAGGAGGAAAGGAGGGGACAGGTCAGCTGGATCACTGATGACAGAAGGAGCTGCTTGTGCTACTGGTCTCGAGCCGACACGCCTTGAGCCCGTAGCCATTTTATATATATATATATATACATGTGCGGAATCCCTAGCATTTCTTCGACCTCTGTTATATATAGATATATATATATACATATACACACATACAGAGAAGAAGAGAGAGAGCACCCAGGGAGGCCCGAAATTCACCAGAAGGAGAAAAAAATTCCAATTAAGCTTTTCTTTCTGCATTTATAGTTTTCTGTATTCAAGAAAGCTACACACACACACACACATACAGAGAAGGAGAGAGAGAGAGAGAGAGAGAGAGAGAGAGAGAGAGCACCGAGGGAGGCCCGAAAGTCACCAGAAGGAGAAAACAAAATTTCAAATTAAGCTTTTCTCTCTGCATTTATAGTTTTCTGTATTCAAAAGCTATAGAATGAACCCGATTTTGTTTGTTTTGGCTCACATTTAAGACTTTTCCAGCAAAAGTGTATGCACTTTCGGCCAAAAGTGTATACACTTTTGGCCAAAAGTGTATACACTTTCGGTGAAAGTGTATACACTTTTGGCCAAAAGTGTATACACTTTTGCCAAAAGTGTATACACTTTCGGCGAAAGTGTATACACTTTTGGTGAAAGTGTATACACTTTTGGGAAAGTGTATACACTTTTGGCGAAAGTGTATACACTTTTGGTGAAAGTGTATACACTTTTGGCGAAAGTGTATGCACTTTTGGTGAAAGTGTATACACTTTTGGCGAAAGTGTATGCACTTTTGGTGAAAGTGTATGCACTTTTGGCGAAAGTGTGTGCACTTTTGGTGAAAGTGTATGCACTTTTGGTGAAAGTGTATGCACTTTTGGTGGAAATGTGTGCACTTTTGGTTGAAATCTATACATTTTTGGTAGAAATGTATAGATTTTTGGTTAAAATCTATACATTTTTGGTGGAAATGTATAGATTTTTGGCTAAAATCTATACAATTTTGGTAGAAATCTATAGATTTTTGGTTAAAATCTATACATTTTTGGTGGAAATGTATAGATTTTTGGTAAAATCTATACAATTTTGTTAGAAATGTATAGATTTTTGGTTAAAATCTATACATTTTTGGTGGAAATGTATAGATTTTCACCTAAAATGATACATTTTTGGTGGAAATGTATGAACTTTTGATTAAAATCTATACATTTTGGTAGAAATGTATATAGATTTTGGGCTAAAATGTATGTGTGTTCTGCAAAAGTCTGTGTTTTTTTGCAAGTAAAAAACATTTTTCAATAAAATCCATATGTATTCACTGAATTTTATTACTGGTTGCTGATAATCCAATCAAAATTACAATCGTTTTAAATATTTTTCATGAAGATTCCAATGGAATTTCTACAGAACTCTAAATTCGCGGATGAAATTTGGCTCTTTGTTTTAAAGAAAATGTTTGAAATGCTACGGAATTTACAAAACTCTTTTGTTTTACAATGTGAAACCGTCACAAAATATATGCAACTTCTACGGTTGCCGTCTCAAACCATTGAGAAGATTTTGACTTCATTCTGAACAATCACAACAAACCGGTTTTGGGAGCATAAGAACACTCACCCCGCCCCACCCCCCATGATGGTTTTCGCTGTCCCCTTGTTGTGTTTTGGTGTGCTCACATAACCCTCCCCTGCCCTAACTCGGTGTAACACCAAGAAAGGAACAGGGGAGTTTGCTTTGGAGCTCGAAATTCCACTATATTCACTATATCTAGACCGGGCCGCGAAGCAAACTGTCCCTTTGCTGTCTTGTGTTTTGGTGTGCTCACATAGCCCACCCCTGCCCTAACTCGGTGTAACACCAAGAAAGGAACAGGGGAGTTTGCTTTGGAGCTCGAAATTCCACAATCTAGACCGGGCCGAAGCAAAAACCAGGAATTCCACACAGCTATACCACACATCTCTCCACTGCACAGAAGCACACTATTTCTGCGATGTTTTCCTCTGCGACCACACGGCATCCGACCAGCATGGGGTCCTGGCAGCGATGGCCACCCCCCGATGAACCCGAAACGAAAGCCCTCCACTCTAACGCGAGAATTCTTATATAGCACCCGAACCAGCTCTTGTGTGTCCCACAAGCCAGAAAGAAGCTGAAACCTCAGCCCCTTCAGCCACAGAAACCCGGGCCCCTTGGCCTAGTGCACCCAAAACAGCTCTCTCTTATCCCCATATACCCAAAAATCGAACCCCTCTGCCCTTATATAAACCCCAACCCCATAAACCTGAAACGAACCTGCCAGCCCTTAACCCGAGAACTCTCTCTTAACCCCGCGAACCCAAAACACACACACCTTCGTCATGAATCCTCTAGACCCTCCAAGGATGTGGTTCGGAGAAGGAAATCGAAGTCACAGGAACCGCTGTGTGCCCGAAACCCGCGAAAAGCGCCACGACCTAGCACCCTCCGGCCTTCCACTTCTCAACCAGACGAGTCCACACTTCTCCAGCAGACGAGTCCAAACCGGACCCTGTGCGAGTCCGGGGGCAATGCTTTTTTGGATTCGTGGCTTGATTGTATAACAACCGACATGCGACCGAGTCTGCCCCGTTCTTTTGCTTCCATGCACTATATGCACACACTGACAAACACGTTGCGAGAGAGAGACGAACGATTTCGGTGCATCAACCGCAGAGAAATGAGACAGCACAGGGGTGCACGAGATTTTGCGGGTGGGCACACAGCGAATCGCGAGCAGCCACGTGCTGTATCCCCTGACCTAACTCGGTGTAACACCAAGAAAGGCACAGGGGAGTTAGCAGCCAAGTGCTGTACACATCAAAAGGGCGATCATACTACACGGCCGAAAGTAGCTCCAACTTCCGGGCTATCACATCTTGCAGGGATTTGCCAGCAACCAGCATGTCCATGAGCTCCCGAGCAATCGCTGCCCTCGCTTCTGAAGCCAGGCCCACTCTGGACACCTGCAGAAGCTGACAGCCCCTCTTCGTGCCGAGCCACTCACAGATGGCAATCCTCTCAGTCGGAACCCCTCTGTCGTACATCATGAACATATACTCAGCACCATCCGGAGCAGTAAAGATTTGCTCGGCCTGACCGGGCACGGCCTTTGCCACCGCCGCCGCCGGTTCGGAAGGCACGGCCTTTGCAACCGCAGCCGCCGGTTTCTTCTGAACCGCCTTCGACTTGAGTTTCTTTTTAACCACGGCCGTCGCCTGGGCTTTACCCTTGGCCTTGGCCTTGGCCTTGGCCTTGGCCTTGCTGGCCTTCGGCTTCGATCCTGAAGCTGTCTTGGTCTCCGTGAATGCAGGCCTGCGACTTCTGGCCAAAGCAATCAGATCCAAGTTGCTCAGAGTCACCGGCTGCTCTGCCGCAGCAGCACCGGAAGAAGCAGCACCGGAAGGAGCCGAACCGCAAGGATCCGAACCGCAAGGAGCAGAACCGGAAGGAGCACCACCGGAAAGAGGAGGAGTGGAAGGAGACTTGAGGACATTGTCGAACATTCGGTGCAATCCAGAACTCTCCTCGCTCGCGAAGATCTCGACAGAGGTCTTCGAGTCATGATCCACTGCTGTGTTTGTCGTACACAGGGAATCAAGAGAAACCATAAAGGTCAGGTCCACATCGGAGTCAGAGCCAGCTTCGTCCTTGGCAGCCTCTTCAGCCTCCTCGTCATTCAGCTCGATCTTCTCCATGACCATTGTGACTTTGGCTTTCTCTGCCTCAGAAAGCCGCCTGAAAGCGGCTTCCCGTTTCTTCTTGTTAACTTTCAGCCGGCGAAACCAGCTGAGCAATATTCTGATCGCGATATCAACAGAGGCAGTGAACTTGTTCTCGTCCTGGCCGCTGTTGTTGGTAACGACATTGTTCAACATGCAAGCTTGGACTGCTGGAATCATAACTCTGCTGAGTACCTTGGAATTTCGACAAACATCGCTGACCAGGTCAAAGGCCAGGGCGGCAAATCTCGCCATCCACCGGGCATCAGCGCTTTTTCTGAAACTCCATGTACGGGGTCCATCCGGGGCCGGAACGATGCATGACCAGAGGTCTGTGGTGCTCTTGTCCCTTAAATGCTTGGTGAGGCATTTTTGCACATCTGACACCGACACAGTCGAGTCAGCACACACTCGCTTGTTGCTCGGTTTCCGTTGGACTTGCATCAAACGATCCAGACGAGTAGCCATGGCTCTGAAAAAGCTGCATATAGCACTAAAGTAAACCCTAACCCTGAACCCTTGATGGCTCTGAAAGCTATATATAGCTCTAGAGTAAACCCTAACCCTGAACCTTTCAAGCTGAAGCCCATAGGGTTAATAGCTCGAGTACAATGGGGGGGAACCCAAAACCCCAAGCCTGACGGGTTTGAAGGGCTTTACAGAGGTGTGGAGATTTGGGCTTGAGAGCTTTCCCTGCCCTAACTCGGTGTAACACCAAGAAAGGGACAGGGGACTGCTATGATACTCTCTTCCCCTGACACTGTGCGAAGACAGCCTGGGCACTACAATGTCATCAAACACATGTCGAGTTGCCCGAGCCTTGGCGGAGGCTTGCTGCTTGCAGATGATGTCCCACAGGCATCGAAGAATTTCCTGCGGCAGCAAAAGCACAAAGAACAAATCGATGTTATCAGCCGTACCACCACATTTGCAACACCACGTCCATCAAACACACATGTAGCTGCCGCCCTGCATAGAGATTTTTGCGAAGGCACAAGGCCGTGAGTCACAGGTGAAACAGAGAAGCAAGACGGCAGCCCGAGCCACACAGAGGCTTTTTTCGGGGTGCAGAAGATGCTACACCTGTGCGATGGCCGTGCCTGGCCTCCCCTGCCTTATATAACTCGGTGTGACTATCCATGTTCTGTGTTTGGTGGCAAATAGTTATAAGTAATAAATATATGTCAACCCCTCTTATAACATCCACACAACTCACACCAAGAAAGGGACAGGGGACTGTGCTATGATACTGCCTCCCTGCTCCCGCACTCCCTCCCCTGCCCTGACTCGGTGTAACACCAAGAAAGGAACAGGGGAGTTTGTTTGGGAGCTCAAAAGTCCACCTCATGTGGGTGGCTCACAGTCCGGGAGTGCTTCAGACCTCCTCGATGGTCATCACCCAGACCCAGAAGCCGTCCTCCATGATCTGGTACCAGCAAATGATGAGGATGGTCTGGGTGCCCGCGATGTTCGCCATGTTCTCGAACTCGGGATCCTCAGGCCTCTGGAGCAGGACCACAGGCCACCAGCTACTCTCGGGCTCGGGGCTCTCGAAGACCATCTGCGGGTTCCTCAGGGCCGCGGCTTAGGGTTTAGGGTTTATGGTTTAGGGTTCAGGGTTTAGAGGGTTTAGAGGGTATAGGGTTTTTAGAGGGGTTATAGAGAGGGTTACAGGGTTTAAAAAGTTTAAGCCTTTGGAGCTCGGTGTGGAGCTTCAGGTGGTCCTTGGAGTACGAGGCATTCGTGTACTTGCCGGACTTAGGAGCATAACTCACCCAGGCAAGATGGTACTTGGCCACCTGGGCTCGTGTCCAAACCCCCTCTGTGGTCACTCTTCCTATACTATTCTATAAAAATTCTATAAACCTTATCGTTATTTTTTATTGGTTCTCCTTTTTACCCACACAAGCCCACCTGCTCCTTTGTGAAATCAAACGTTTTCGCATTCGTGCTCTTGCCGTACTTCACCTTCATGGCCTTGGTGGCATGGATGCTCCGTACCAGGGACGGAAGCTTCTCCACATCGCCCCAGTACTCCACACTGTTTGCCAGCGACAAACGGTGCAATCCGCCGCCGAATCGCCGAACTTTCGTGAAGGACTCCCGGACTGCAGCCGGGGTCATCGCACTTGGGTCCGTGAGGAGGTACGACGACTTGAGGTGCTCCTTCATGTAAATCTTGTGGTCCTTATTCTGCACGTGGTACTCGTCCACGTACTTGTCGCAAAAGGGGCACTTCTCGTTCTTGTAGCAGGAAGTGAGGACCTTGTCGGCCTCCATCACCTGCTCGTCCGAGATCTCCGGCATCTTCATGCCCGGGCTCTCTTGAAACTCTCCAAAGAGCTTCTTGAACAGGTCCTCCTTCTGGTTCTCCGCGAGCTGCTCCAGGAGAGCCTCCGTGAGGTTGCCGCTGCCCTTGCGGTACTTCTTCACCATCTTCAAGATCTCCTCGTGGGGCATCTTGTCTGCCTCTTCCTTCGAGATGATCCCCTTGTGGATCAAAGCTTTCTTGGCCTGTTTCGCCTCACGCAGAGGGCCTCTTCCATGTTCCGGCTTGCTGTTGGACCGCTTTGCGGTGCTCATGGTCTCGTTGTCGGACGGAGGGTCTGGCTCCTCCATCACAACATCTTCCGGCACTTTCGTGCTCTCGGTGCGGGCATCGAGCCCCTCCAGGGCCGTCTTGTCCAACTTCTTCACACTCCCGCTGGCCGGCTCCATGGCGAGGAGCTACGAATTTAGATCTATATATAAAAGGTGCCCACACAAACAAAATCTACAATTAAAACCACATCTAAACTATAACAATAACATACATTTGCTAACCATCTTATAGATGCCTGCCCTAACTCGGTGTAACACCAAGAAAGGGACAGGCGGGCACAAAGAAAGTAAAAGGCTGCAAACCACACACACACACAGGCACATGTGTGAACATGCTTTGGCATCCGGTCTTGTGAGCACACAAGCAACTCTCTCTCTCTCTCTCTCTCTCTCTCTCTCTCTCTCTCTCTCTCTCTCTCTCTCTCTCTCTCTCTCTCTCTCTCTCTCTCTCTCTCTCTCTCTCTCTCTCTCTCTCTCTCTCTCTCGGAGGTCCTGCCACGAAAAGACCGAGAATGTTTGCCAGGACCACGAGGAGCTCCGCAGATCTTCGGCTTGCCTGTCCTGCCACACAAAGACAAAGATGAAAAGATCACCAAAACCGGGAGCACATTCACTGTTCGAGCAAGTCCTGCCACCACACCATAGCCGGCCATCCAGGGCGGTCACATCAAAGCACACTGTGCATCTATCAACGATACAGGATTGTGAACTTGTTCTGCTCGTCTCTCAATCACCCTATATAGATATATATATATATATATATATATGTATCGACAACCCGACATATATACATATATATATATATATCCTAAACCAGAAAAAAACATCCATATTATATGTTCGTAATAAGTGCAAAAAAGGAAGTCCTCTGCTGAGTGCGAGAGACCCACCCCTGCCCTGACTCGGTGTAACACCAAGAAAGGGACAGGGGCGGGCTTGAGAAGAGACACACGGCCCGGCAGCCCTAATTCTAATCATGAAAATCACAAGTGCTGAGTGCGAGAGACCCACCCCTGCCCTGACTCGGTGTGACACCAAGAAAGGGACAGGGGCTGGCTTGAGAAGAGACACACGGCCCGGCAGCCCTAATTCTAATCATGAAAATCACAAGTGCCCTCGCAATGCCTTCCGGCTTTAGATGGCCTCCCCCGGGGTCTTTTGCAAACACCAGTGTAAGTCTCACCTCCACTCGGCCAGGGTGGATCCGCCATGCCTGAGGGGTGTGCACCTTCCTTCAACAAGGTCACAGGAGTGTGCTTCCGGTTTTGCCGCCCCCGAAAGCCCGGACGGAAGCTTGTCTGCTTCCTCCTCCTTCATGACCCCCTTGTCGACGACCGGTTTCCATCAGGCTGTTTGGCCTCTAGCAGCTGACCTCCGTGAGCCGGTTAGTTGAGGAGGTCCAGTGCTACCGTCTGGATCTGCATCCAGACTTGCCGGTCGAGGAGTGGTGCAGGGACTTGCCCTCAAGCCGCAGGCCAGTGGCCCTGCAGTGATGTATGGCGGGGGGTAGGTGATACTGTCTCACGGACAATCATGCACAAGTCACACAAGCAAGAACGGATTTCAGGAGCTCCTGTGGTTTAGAGGATATATATATATATATATATATCATAAAAATGCATCCTGCCAAGTGCGAAAGACCTATATATACTCGGTGTCACACCAAACGACAAAGGGGAACCCTAGCCCTGCCCGATAACTCGCTCTCTCGCTCTCTCTTTCTCTTTTTCTTTTGTTTTTTCACCGAAACAAGACAAGCCATGCTCGCGGGCTTCGGCTTGTGCTCGGCCTTCGGAGTCACAACTGTACATGTTGTCTCTGTCGGCAAATCTCGCTCTCGGAATCTATACGAATCTATCGCCACGTCGGCCTGCCCGGCATTCGGAATCCACTACTTTTTCGACACTTCGCACTTCCCAGTGCCTGGTTTTCAAAACACCTTTTCGGCACAGCTTGGCCCATTGAACAAAATAGGACAAAATTTACACGCCAGAATTTACACAAAAAATGTAATTTTTTTACACCCCAATTTGGCGTATAAATCATTTATACCGCTTTTGGCGTGTAAATTTCCCGAACGTGTAAAATTACACGAAAAGGATCTATCAGGAAGGGCAGCTGATCGTGAAGAGCAGGAGCGAGCGCAACCGGTAAGTGTGAAACTTGCCGAGGGCGAGACTACGTTGTTGCAGACAAAATCTGGAACGCTCTTGGGGGATGCTTCAGCGGAGACGTTGGTCCCATTGGGGCAACTTGTCCAAATTCTTGGGTGCACTGTGCGGTGGTCCAAGAACCGCCTCATCGTGAATCATCCAATTCATGGACGGCTGAAAGTTCAAGTTCGGGACTACTGCCCCCAGATGGCCGAGCATGAGGCACTCCGCCTTATCAGCGAGCTCGAGGAGAAGCGGTTGATAAAGATGAACAATACGGTTAAGGCCTTGGAGATGAGAGTGGCTCAGAGCGAACACGTTATGGAGTGGTTCGAGTATGTTCAGAGCTATGTCACCACTGGAAAGCGCGTGGAGCTGCTGGGAGCTCTCACTAAGGCCCCGTTCCTCAAGGACGTCTCCTTGGACACGATTGCCATGGCAGCAGAGGACATTCCCCTGCGTGACGTGGATGGATGGAAGCTTCTCAAGTCTATGTCTATGCCATGGTCCAGAAGGAAGCGAAGGTCGCTGCATCGATCCAGCGATTGGAATGTGCATCTTTTCTCTGGACCTTCGAGGCCAACGAGTACGACATCTACTACTTCCAGGTTGTCTGTCACTGAGGCCTCGGGTGTCAATGTTGAGGTCGATATCCTGGATTCGGCTTTGATGGATGTAACCAGGATGGACGGCGTCTTCAAGGTTCTTCTATGGGGAGCGGCTCGTGGAAAGATCAGGACTTTGATTGGAGGCCCACCGAGAAGATCTTATTTGGTCGATGATGATGAAAAAAGGGCCAAGGAGGAGCCGCTTGTGATCAGGATGTTGGTCTTGGCAATGGTGGCTATGGAAGGACGACGCCAGCATCGCAGCGATCGGCTGGGTTTTGCTTCGGAACATCCGGACAAGGTCGTAGCCCAGGGAAATGTTTGGTCAAGCTCTTTGTGGAAAGGCTTCTCGGAGGTGTATGGAATGGAGGTGGTTCAGTCAGGACGCGGCTCTACGGGAACAAATATGTACCTGGAGGCCTTGAACTCACTAACCTCAACTACCACGACCTCTGGAGTTTGGGCCAGTGAGTATGCGCAGGCGATCGGTGAGGCCGTTAATGCCTGGACGGGTTTTTCAGTGCATGAGTCGGTGCTTTGCTCTGTAGCTGCAGGTCCATCCCCAATATCATGTAAGATGACTGCGAAGGAGTGGCAACTACACGTGAGCCGGGACCACATTCCATTTCGCAAGGATTGCAAGCATTGTGTTCAGTCAGCAGCAGGACGACCTCATCGCCGCGTGACTCATAAATCTGCTTATGTTCTCTCTGCAGATGTAGCTGGACCGTTCCGGGTCAAGGGGGTGAATACCGAGACCAATCAGCATCGCTTTATGCTGGTATGCGCTTACCAGTTCCCGTCCTGGAACCCCAGATGCTCAGCATGAGTCTGTTGATGATGATACTGGTGCGGGCGCGGGTCTCGAGGAGTTGCTCTTCGAGGAGGAGGGCGGCGATGATAAGCATGAGATCATTGAGGAGAGTGGCGCCGACAAGCATGTGATCATTGAGAAGGATGGCGGTGCTCAAGCTGAAGATGCGAGTGGCCCTAGTCCTGAAGAGGAGGCTGCAAAAGCATTTGAGCCGCTGGAATTTGCTGATTCGTGCGACCACTCAGATCCAGAAAATCCACTGAGGTCCTTCGTGCCTTACAAGAAGTGTATATCGATGTGAAAATGCTGGGACTACCTGTAAGTCGACTTCATTCGGACCGTGCGAGAGAATTTCGCACGCCTGCGGTCTCAGCTTGGGCTGCGTCGAGAGACATTCTGGTGACAAGGTCCGAAGGTGATGCGCCAGCGCAGAACGGCACTGCGGAACAAGCGGTGAAATATCTGAAGTCTCGAACTCGGATCTTGCTTGCATCGGCGCAGGACTCAAGTGGAAGGGACATCAAAGAAGTGAAGACGTGGTGGCCGATGGCCGCTGAGACGGCAGCTGTGCGTCAGAGATCTTTGGTGTTCGGTCTCGAGTCAAATCCCCCGGCAGGCTTTGGAACCAAGGTTTTCGTGAAAAGGAAGAGATATGGTGCTGAGGCTCGTGATCTTGATCCTAAGTGGAGCAGCGCGGTCTACTTGGGGCCAGCGAGGGATGTTCCTGCGGGTCATGTTGTTCTGACGGACGACAATCATCTGTGGAACACCTGCAATGTCCGACAGCTACCGGATGTTCCCATGGAGCCGGATCCCTCAACCTTGGCAGCTAGAAGGAGAATCTCCGGGAAAAGGCCGCCGGTTGCACCTATACCTTTGAAGGCTTTGAGGATTTCTTCTTTGCCAAAGGGGAAGCAAGAGGAGCGCGACGATCTCTTTGTTGAGTCCCTCCCGGTGTCTGAGATTAAGTCGGTTGCGAAGGTTGAATATCTTCCCAATGGCGATTTGATGAAGCCTTTGGCCCAGGTGTCCCATGAGAAGCAGTGGTATGCCTTGGAGGACTGCTTTGCAATTCTTGAGGATACCCCTTTCAAGAAGCCAACTAAGACTAGGAACGCAGAGGCTTGGGAGATCCTGGGCCAGATGTTTATGCAACCTTTGGGGCCTACCAGCACGGCAACTTCACTGGTGTGACCAACGCCACGCGGGACTATCCGGAGCTAGTGCAGTACCTGACGGCGTTCATCAGGAGACACTCAGGAGAGAGCGATCCTTTCACAAGCGTGGTTGTGGCCAGAAATTTGGAAACTGGGCTGCACCGTGATCGCTACAACGTGAATGGCATGAGGAACATTGTCATTTGGTGCGGAGCCTATGAGCAGGGTGGATTGTGGGTCGAAGGATTCCATGATGGCTTTGAGTCAATGTCCTCGACCCTTCCCGATGGGCAGAAGGTTGACGGTTCTGTTGTGCCTACTGAGAATCAGGTGGTGAAGTTCAATCCGAGGCGACTCCATAAGAGCCTCCCATGGAAGGGCACGAAGTGGACCATCATTGCCTATGTGAATCGTGGATTTGCTCGTCTACCGGAAGCAAAGGTGCAAGAGCTACGGGATTGCGGCTTCCTTGCTCCTCGGTGTGAAGAAACTACGTTGAGCCAGCTACGTCTTCAGGAGGAGCATGTGGAGTTTGATTATTGCGAGACCTCTGATGAGGAGGAGCATTTCGTGCAAAGCGTAGCTGCAGAATCGAGTCTTGTTAACGTGAGGAAGCTCCTTGATGAAGAGGAGAAGATAGAGTCCATTGGTCCTGGCATCTTAGACCAGGAGGAGCGGGACGCAATCGCCCGCGTGAATGTCAAGGCGATGCATCTCTGTGAAGCATTAGATGCAGCTGAGGCCAATCGATGTGACGATGCAGGTGATCTGGACAGCCTTAAATGGTTCCGGTTGTGTCGGCTTGTTGAAAGTGGAGAACAACATGGAGTTGAAGAGCTGTTGAGAAATCTAAATGCTCCCTTGCAGGTTGTGTACACTCTGACGCTTGGGGAGGTCCGGGAGAATGTTATACGGCTTGGAAAAGGGCGATTTTGAAGGAAGTTCAGGCGTTGATCAATTGTGGGGCCTTGGTTAAGCTGGATGCGGCCGAAGAAGACCGTCTTCAGCGCGAGGGCAAGCTAGTGATCTTACCGGCCAAAGGCGTGTTTACTGTCAAGCCCCCCGACCTTCAAGCAGCTGCGGAGGCAATCCAGTCAAAGCCGCAGGACCAACTAGAGTTCCCAGATGGTGTCCAGTCAAAGCCTCAGGACCAGCTAGAGTTCCCAGACGGTGTCCAGTCAAAGCCTCAGGACCAGCTAGAGTTCCCAGACGGTGTCCAGTCAGCAAAGAGTTCTCATGTGTCGGGTTCGATTCCAGTTGATGCCCTATACAAGCGTACAGCAAGACTGGTCATCTGTGGCAATTTCGAGAAGAATATCAGTCAGGAGTTGTATGCCGGAGGTTGCCAAACGGAATCCCTGAGGATTATGGTTTCCCACGCTTCATCCAGGCCATTATGGGACGCAGCGGTGACAGACATTCGGAACGCCTTTGTGTTAGCTCCGATGTGCACTGATGCTACGTATGGGCTGCGGTTTCCGAAAGTGTTTCTTCTCGCCTTGGGTCCAGAATGGGACTGGCTTTACCGTGTAGATCGGGCCCTTTACGGCTTCAGACGTTCTCCACGCCTTTGGGGCCTATTTCGAGATGCTAGGTTCAAGAAAGCCAGGATCACACTTCAGAGCCTTGTTGGAAATCGTGTGGCGGTTCTCAGACGGTTGGTTGCTGATGAGAACATCTGGCAGGTCGTTGTTCTAAAAGAGGGCAGCGAGGAGCCAGATTTTGTGGCCGCCTACATTGTGGTCTACGTTGACGACATCTTGTATCTCGGAGAGCCAAGCACGATTTCAGATGTTCATGCGTGGTTGAGTGCTGAGTGGACCTCCAGTCCTTTGACATGGGCGTCAGATGTGGATGGTATAAGGTTTCTCGGTTTGGAAATCTATAAGTCCAAAGTGGGATATAAGATGTGCCAGTTTGGTTACTTGCGTGAGCTCCTACGTCATCATGATCTAACGAATGGCCCCGGTGCTAGAACTCCATGTCCGAGAGAGTGGCTCATCGGCGAGGGTGAAGTGGAGCAGGCTGTGTATGATGAAGTGAGCTTGAGAAAGGCCCAGCAGATGACAGGTGAGCTGTTGTGGCTTAGCACGAAGTCGAGACCAGACCTCATGCATTCGGTCTCCAGCATGAGCTCTCTTTGTTTGCGAGATCCAGTCCTGGTTGAAAGAATCGGGAAGCGGGTTCTTGCCTACTTGTTTGCTACTTCGCAGCTCTCTCTTATGTTCTTCGGAAGCAGTGATGAGCCGGAACATTCCGTTGTGGCCTACTCGGATGCTTCTTTCAGCCCATCAGGCGGAAGGTCTATTGGCTGTTCATTGATCACCTACAATGGCAATGCGGTGGCTTGGCGCTCCGGGCGCCAGAGCCTGATAGCACTGAGTACGGCAGAGAGTGAGTTGATAGAAGCGGTTGCAGCGGTCCAGCTTCAGGCAGGAATTTCGTCATTGACGTCAGAGATCAACGCTTCAGAGATTCATCTTCTGTTGCTTGTTGACAACAGCGCAGCTGTTGGCTTGTGCACCGATGCACCAGGCACATGGCGCACGAGATACTTGCGCGTCCGTGCGGGTGCGCTTCGAGAACTTGTTAGAGAAGGCGTTCTGGTTATCCGACACATCCCAGGTCTTCTGCAGAAAGCTGATCTTGGAACCAAAGGGTTTGATGCAGTTCGTCTTTTTGAGCTACTTGAACTTTGGGGTTTGGTGCAACGTGAAGATGATCGACCTCGTATTCCTTCTCCAGCAGCCATACCGCAAGCAGAAACGACTAGCAAGACAAGCAATCATGTAGCAGGTTTAAGGGTTACCTGGGTCCATGCAGTTGCACGCCTTGCTGTGGTGCTTTTCTGTTTGACGCAGCCTGTTGCTGGCAAGAAGTCCAAGCCTGACATCGAAGTCAATTTCGCTTGGGAGCTATATGGATGGCATGGTTTTTCTTCTTGTAGTTGCTGGGATAGCCATTTGGGAGGTTGTCAAGAAGATTTGGGGGAGGCTATATCCTGAAGAGCCTGAGTCGCGAGAGGCTAGACGTCTTAGGAAGCTGCAGAGTGCTGTACGAGACGAGCTTCAGGGAATGGGTTTGGGTAGTCAAGCCACGTGGTCTTCTTCAAGCTCTTCTTCTCAGGGCCATCCAGCGCCTCCTCCCACGTATGGGCGAGGAGCATCCATACCCTCCTCCGCCTCCACCATATCCTACTGGAAGCTTCGATGATCCCCCACACCTTGAGGAGCTCAGGGGCACCTTTAGGAGAAGGCGAGGGCGAACTACAGATCAAGCAGTTCAGACTGAGCCTCGGAGGATTCAAGGAGAATTTACGATCCAGTACACTACGCCGCTGTATGTGACCAAGAATGGGAAGTGCATTCACGCTAGGGACACTTGTTCGTCCTTGGTTGCGGGAGGCAGAACAGAGCAGCGGCACCTTTGTCAGCTTTGCAACAGAGGCTGATGACGATGCGGAGTTGAAGCTCCTAAAATCCTTCTTGCAAGACTGGTTTTTCTGAGATGGTGGGCTGCACATAGACAGATGGCCCGATTGGTTTAGAGCCGGTCGGATACCTGTAGTGTAGAGCCACGGACGTGGCGCCAAATTAAATCTTCGAATCCTGAGAGGACTGTCTGGCAGGGCTTAACCCCTGTCGGATGGCCCTAAGGGGAGGAGGAGTGCTGATAACTGAAGGTTATCAAGGCCCTGCCGCTTTAGTCGGTAAAAGGCTGGCAACTTCTTCGAGGGACTTTGTGTGTCTCTGCAAGGATATGCCGACGACGCGATGGCTCAAGGATGCAAAAGGACGAGCTCTCCGAGGAAAGGCCATCCGGGCCGCAGGTAGGAGGGTTGTGCGTTTTGGATTGGGGTTGGGGAAATTTGAGAAGGTTGTTTAGGCTCAGGCCGGTGACCCTCTTCGTTTGGCCCCCTCCCCTTGGTCAGGCCCTTAGGTTCGTTCAGGGATCTTCGGTGCTTGATTGTGCGGTTTGTCTTGTCTGAGTGGGGATTACATACTGGTGTGTTTACCCGTTTGAGTTTGTACTTCGTAATCATAAATCTCTTATATAGAAGACGTGCCATGGCCCAGCCCTCGAACTCCGGTGGTCAAGGCGACCAATAATAATAATAATAATAATAATAATAATAATAATAATTTGTCAGTCCAATTGAGGAATGATCGACGTACAGCTTGCGCCTCCTCACCGACACGAAGCTTTCCACGTCAGGGTGGCCTTCCGGAGGTAAGATGTTCTGGCCGAGTCGAAGGGGAACATGGTCAGGACGAATAATTTCAAGGACGTAACTCGACAAACTTGAATTCAACACGAACTTCAAGGACACAGTGACGTACGACGTAACTCGACAAACTTGAGTTCAACACGAACTTCAAGGACGCAGTGACGTACCTTGTGCCGCGATAAGACAGAGGAGTGTCCCAGTCGTGCAGTTGGTGTCGTGTGCCCTGACCTGAATCTGCCCTGCACGTAACTTCTCGTGTTTGCTCAGCATTTGGCTAGTCTTTCAGCACGGATAGCCCGGCCTCTACGAAAAGTAGCAAGAATGGCGGCGACGGACACGGACGCGCCGGAGATGCCGGCTGTTTTGCAGAAGATACACACGCAGTTCGAACTTATGCTGGCGAAAGGAAATGTCGGGAGACAAGTTGCAGATCGCATGACAAAAGAACGTATGAGAGAGACCATGGACAACTTAGTCATGACGAAGCCTGCGACGACGGAAAAGAAAGTTATCACCTCCGTCCCAACAGAGAGCACGGATGGTTGGCTTCCTTTGACGGCACTCATCTTTGATCACACCATGAAGAACGGACTGCACGCACCGAACATCCAGACGAGGACGCACTTCTTGGAGTTCTTGAAAAATGGATACCGTTCCAACGAAGCAGTGGAAGTGAAGTTTCCTCACTGCCAAGGTGCTTGGCCTGCATCGATTTAGCACAGGTGAAGTTCAATTCAATACCCTGAGAGGTGATTGATCTTTCAGCCCGCACGGAACGGACTTTGCCGTCGGTGTTACGGACGGACAAACGAAGTTGACCATCGTGCAAACAATTGTCAGCATTGTTTACCACCTGGTGCTTCAGCTTGAATTTCTGCTTGGCACCATGTCGTGCTCAACTCTGTAGGCCGGCTGGCAGTCACTTTCACCGAGGAACTGACGGACGAGGAACTGCAAGACAAAACGCTGGTGTCCAGCTTGAACTCTTTCGCTTATATCAGATGCAGCTTCGTCTACCACGCAAATCCCGCGGAGTATCACTACCGGGCTCTTCGCTGCTTGGCTGCACATGGACACATGTTGAGCATCGCAAGTGACTTGAATAAATTTAATCTCCGCAGAAATCCGTGTCAGACTGAGGCAATGGTTACCAAACTGCCGAGAAGCAAGCACCGAGTCCGCTGGTCTTGGCGGCTGAAATGCAAGCCGCAATCGACATTGAACAAAACTTGGCAGGAAGAGCAAAGAAGCTGCCCCTCCGAGATGCTCTCGGCGCTGCGATTGCCAACTATAACAAGAAAGTCACTAATGTGAAACACCGAATCACCGCCGGACGGAAGGGACTCATTATGAATCTGCTGCCCGGCTAGTGTTTTGTGCAGAGCCACACCCGAATTTCGGGAAGTCATCCGAGCTCACTACGACGATTACAAGCATGAAATCTCAGGCTTAGCGCAACCCTAATCAACCCTGACCTTAACCCTTAACCGCTCGAGCTTGTGTTTTCCTGAGCGGTCTTTTGACAGGTATTCCTCACGATATACTGGCAGCTGATTGGTGGCTGCCAAATCAAGCGAGGCAGCTTCAACGCTACAAGCAGAGCGAAACATGGAGTGCCATCATGCAAACAACGGAAGCATCTGCGACTGCGTGGGCGACACGTATCGTCCAGGACGTCATATAGAATTAACTAATATGATCAGAAATGAAACAGTTGCAGAATTCATTGTTAGCATGGCCAGGACTTCAATCGCACGGTGAGCACGAAATCCACCACCAGGGCCAAGGCCAAGGCCGTACTGTTCCACAGAGTTGAATTAATGGGTTCGTTTCGATGAGCGTGTCGTAATGTGCACATGCTGTGGCTTGGCAGAAAGCAGCACAACTCAACGAAGAGAAGCAGATGGAGATCCACGACATCGTCTTGCTGTGGTTGCACATATTGCCGAAGTTGCAAGCACTGTTCCCAGCGGAAACAGTCGCGTCGCATCAGAGCATGTTCGACCGCGGGCTTCCCGGCGGTCGAATTAGGCTTAACTTGATTGTCCGATTTCGCTTGGTTTGCTGGAACTATTATCCCATTTGGTTTGGTTTCCTTGAATTATTATGCACTTGGCTGTGTTTCCTTGATTCAATTATCGATTTGATTTGCTTTCCTTGAATTTAAAAATATTTGGCGATGGCTTCCTGGAATTTACAGAGAATCGAGGAAACCACGCCAACTGCATTTGGCCGGACAGAATCAATCACAATTTGCAAGTTGGCTCAACACCGAAAGTGTGATTGATTCTCTGGAGAATCGATCGCGTTTTGATATTCAAAAACAGAACCGATCATGCTTTGGCCAACGGCCCAACACCGAGATCGTGATCGATTCTGTTTTGCAAAGTAAAAGCGTGATCGATTCTCTGGAGAATCGATCGCGTTTGCGAAGTTGGCCCAAGACGGAAAATGTGATTGATTTTGAATTTTTTTTGGCTTTCCATGATTCCGATTTGGATTTGGTTCGGCTCTGATCCGATTTGGTTTGGTTTCCTGGAATTATTAAACGATTTGGTTTGGTTTCCTTGAATTATTATCTGATTTGGTTTGGTTTCCTTGATATTAATATTCAACATCAATTGGCTTGGATTCGCTCCATGCCAATTCCGGCAGGGTGGATCAGCAAAGTTAAAGATTGGCTTGATAACACTGAGGACGTTGGACCACGAACTGGGACCAGCCACGAAGAATGCATCAAACGGATTCAGCTGGGAGAGGCTGCCATTCGTATTGGAGGCATGAGGGAGACCCGTGAAAGGGAACCCTTCTAAACCTTACTTCTGGCTCCGTAGTTTTGGTAGAAGGTCTGTCCGGATTTTCCCCAAGTTTCCCCCTTAAACCTAACTCTCAGGCAAAAGGATGTGTGGTCAACGACTTCATCGCCCAATCTCAATGTCGAACGTCTCGTGCCCTTGAGAAGGCAAATAAAGCCGCCTTTGAGTCATGGAAAGAACTAGTTCGGGCGGACGAAGCCCTATTTCAACAGGATACATTGCAGTCACTTGAATGCATTAGCAATTGCATGAGAGTCCAGGGCCTAGCCGCCTATTTCATACGCACGGTTCGCACCTGAGGCGGACCGCAGACATGGAGAAGACAAGGAACAACATCCTGGAGCAGATGGAGGACACGAGCCGAATGTTTAAAGGAATCCGCTTAACAGAGCCTCTAGGTCTGAAGTCAGTTTGTTGCAGGAGGCACACACTCGAGCATGGAACAAAGTATCCATGTACATGATGGACAGTCTGCGCTTGTTCCACACCACCACTCGAGATATGGAGAGCACCGTATTGCCAGCAGTCCAGACGCACATGAGGCTGCCCGGCAGCAGATTTCTAAATAGATTACACAGCTGACTTGTTGTTGACTGCGCCGTTCAGACACTGGTACTAGCAGGAATGAAGCTGCCAACGTAACTGTCCTGTGGTGCTCACTGCCGACTGCGGGAATCGTGACTGCAACGAAAACAAGTGGCATCCTGACGGCGATCACGAACATGTTGGCCTCCAGCCCTGCGAACAACATCGCCATTCTGGTGTTGCCCAATCGTGCTCAGAATTTGATTTCCGAGAGGCAATGTGGGTTTGGGTTCGTTTTCATGATCATGATGTAAGTTTTATGTCTTTTCACCTGTGAGGTCAGCCGAAGTTACCAAGGAGGACTTCGCCAAGAAGGAAGAAGTTGAGGAAGCAGAAGCGGACGTGGACGCAGATAAGGAGGACGAAGACATGGAGGACGAAACCCAAAACCAAGACGATGACGGAAAAGATGGACAAGATGAAAAAGATGAAAAACTTGACAAAGAATCGAACGTGCGCAAGGTTCGCTACATGTGGGCGATCCTGAACATGCATTGCACTTTTTGGATTGGAATGTCAATGCAGCTTGACGGGGTACACAAGGGGCGACTTACTCTTCAAAATAAAGCCGGGCGCATTCAGCTGGTTTCCATGTTCCAGGGGTTCCTCGACAGGGGAACAATCACGGTTCACGAGGCGCAGGTCGCTCATGGGCTTTTGAACTTCTCGGCCGGCTACGTGAATGGCCGTGCTTTGCGCGTGACCTGCCAGGAGCTGCTTCGCTTGACAAAGGCACCGGGTCCCTCCACGCCTGAGGCGATCCGCATCTTTTGCGTCAACAGCCTCGAGGCCCTCCGGGCGCTAAGCCCCCGTGTTCTGTGTGTGTGGGACAGCCGGGCTCCCATACACGTCTTCATTGACGGGGCCTGGGAGCGGGGCCGAGCTGGCATTGGCGCTGTTATCTTCGATACGGCATCGGGTGAGTCGTGGGCTTACGCCGGCTTAGTGCCAGAGTCTCTCATCTCCCGATGGGAGGCGGATGTCGGGTCTCAGCTCATCTGTCAGACTGAGTTGTATGCCATCGTGTGCCTTAGGTGGGCCTTGGCCTCCACTTTCGGTCACAGACGCTTGATTTGGTGGGTCGACAACGAATCTGCGAGGTATGGCTTGATTAAGGGCATCTCGGACAGCCCCTCCATGGCATCCTTGGTCCAGGCCTTTGCACTTGCAGACTCCAAAGCACCCTCGTACAGCTGGTACGAGAGGGTCCCATCGTTCTCTAACATTGCAGATGGACCAAGCTAAGATTCTGGCTCAAGTTTTGTTTTGTTGTAGGTCTTCTTTTGTTTTGGAACCGGGCCCTGGGGCTTAACAGGTTCGGCTTTTAACCGTGGCTCCACGACGTTCGGTAGCTTCTTCGCGCATGGCATGGACAGGGATCGCTCTTCGACGAACAAGATGCCTAGCAATTTTGTGTCATGTGACCATTGTTTGGATGCAGGCAAATGCAATCAACAACAGGTCCAATCCAACGAGCACCGGGCCGCCTGCAAGGCCACCACTGCACAGTCTGCCAGTGCCCAGGGACAGTCTGCTCAGACCGCAAGAGCTCAGCGTGATGCATTGTGTCAGCTTGCCATCGACAAGGCACAGGAAAGGTTCGATGCTAGGGCCCGCCAGAGCCAGCAACAGAACCTGCACGAGATGGACTGAAGGTCCGCAGGACATTGCTCGGGGAGCCGTGACCGGCCCCCAGCCCGCTACGAGTGCTTCACAGGAGCCAGCGATCGTGTGTCATGCAGGATTCTTTACTACTTGCACTTGCCAGGACCAGCTTGAGCTTCGTGACCCGGCACCCCCTTCGGAATCGCAAGCTTGGGCCTCATCATACGCCACTTGCTCACCTTTGCCTGGGAAATGTTGGTTGGACCGTGCTTTGCAACCGCAGTTTCTCCTTAAGCCCTTGCATAGGGAAGAGCCGAGCATGTCGGCCCCCGGCGGTGAAGGTCCGAAGCCCAAGAGGGAAAAGCCGCGCTCACATTTTCGAGCAGACGGAACTCGCAGACGTACCTCCGGCGAGAAGCAGGCTCGACGAGCGTGGTGGCAGGACCAAGGCCCAGGAGCAGCTAAAGGACGGGGACAGCGAGACTGGCAGGAAAGTACCGATGCTGCCAGCAGTTCCACATGGAGAAGGCAAGCGTCTGATGGGGATGCTGGCTGGGGGGCCAATCTGCAAAGCACAGGGCGCCGTGCAGACTCCAAGAGGCAATCCGAAGATCCTGAGCCGGTGAAGCCAGCAGAGGCTCCCACTTCTGGCCACAGTGGTCCTAGCAAAGCGAGCCCAACGACCCAAAGCCCACAGACGGAGGCGCAGGACAGACGAACCCTTTTGCTGAGGCTTCCGGATGGCATTGGGATTCCGCAGCTCGCCGCTCAGCTGGATGACATCAAGAAGGAATCTGGGCTTTTGCAGGTCCTTCTCTCCGCCCGCCCCTCCAAGGAGGGGCGGTGGACGCTCCTCTTGGATGGAACGCTGCAGCAACAGGACCGCGCCAAGGCCGTCGTACAGGACATCATGGAGAGGGCGCAAAATGAATCACGGATGGCACCACCAAGCGCACGTCCCTCACTCAATGGACCGACAGAGGCGAATGCTGCTGGGTCTGCTGGACTGGCTTCTCTCCCGCTACTGCACTTGCCGCCGCATCCGAGTGCTGCCGATGAAGCATTGGACCCTATACCGACTGGAGTCCCAGTGATGCAGGTGGCCACAGCAGAGAGGGACAAGGCCTCAGGGAGTGCCGATTCACCGGCCCCCGATGTAGCCCAGGTTGCCAGTGTACAGGCACAGTCATTGCAGAGTGCGGCCGAGACGGCTGAGCAGGGTTCCGACAGTGCTGCATACATGCTTGCATCTCCTGCACTTCCTGTCTGGCCATGCGACCCGCACAGTAGCACACTGCATGCTGCTGCTAAAGCCCCCTGCCAAGGTTCGCAATGGATATCCGGAACAGGAGCAAGGCCAACCCGGGTTCCACATAGGACGTCGTTTCTGCATAGCTGGACACAGGCAGTGGATGGCCCCCTCGGCCCCACCCTTGGTGAGCCGTGGCCAGAGCCCGTAATGCGGGCGTGCCTCTGTCACACGGAGGTCTTGGCATCACTTCTCGGCCCCATCCTTGGGGAGCCGCCGGCGTTATTGCTTCCCTGGTTTGTCGTGCTCACCTTCTGTGCTGCTAGGTTGTCACCCCGTGGACAACAACGAGGCCGAACACACAGGCCAACTTTACGGCTACTGTTCAGCAGCTTGTGGCGACCTGGAACTTGGTCCCGCGGTCAATGCATGATGCATCGCATTTGCCCCTGCAGGTATCATAGACGACGCCTAGCCTGCTGCAACCTCAGCCAATGGAGACGAACAAAGGCGGCACACTTTGGACCGAAGCTGCAATCCAGTGATGATGGCTGCCTTAGACTGTGCTGGGGTTTACTTGCCATTTCAGCTTCGCTGCAGCTGCTGGCGGCCCTGTTCCATTTTATCACCCTGCCTTTCCTTTTATCACCGGGGCAGTGTTCATGGGGAAGAAGGCCACACAAGCTGCGCCTTCGAGGGCGCGATCGCGCAGCAGCACAGGTACAGCTGCCTCCAAGGCCAAGGCCAAGGCGGCACCCAGGTCCAAGCCGAAGCCACGATGTCGATCAGGGCCACAAACGAAGGCGAAAGCGAAAGCCAAGCAAACAACCAAAGCCTGGGATCATCGCACTTCTCGCCGAGCTGAGCCTGAGGACACTACATCGCCGTCGTGGTTCACTGACAGCAGTGACATATCCTCCAGCGCCACAAGCTCGATGGAAGAGGTATCGGTCGCTGCACCAAGCTCCACTGAGCTCGAAGCCAAAGCCTTTGGCACCTACCTGGCTCAGGGGATGGCAGCTGGAACGCTCGACGACTCAAGCGAGGACCTGGGAAGGGAGGACACCGATGATGATAAGGACACAGCTGGGCCTCCCTCCTCCGAGGCACCCGTGGCGAACCCTGGAGACATGCCTGCAACAACTGGGTCAGTGGGGAGAGTGGTCTCCCGTGGCTCACAGATATGCGGCAAGGTGGCACCGAAGATGCTCGTCCGAGCAGGTTGGAGATGCGCCAGATGTTACAAGATCAAGAGCCAATGTGAGCTCACTGGATGCTGGCCCGACTTCGAGCGGCAGTAAAGTAGATTGTTGCATCCAGCAACCAAGGCGGCAAAATCTGGACCGAACGCAGCTGCACCTTTTAGCACATCTGCTTGGACCTTTCGCCTCGAACCTCAGTCTGCCTACTCCAGTCCTGAACTTGGCAACTGCTGTCGCAAATCTCATCAAGCACTGGTACTGTGTTCTCTGTTTGATAGCGAGCTACATATATCCGACCAGCCGGAGCCCCAGCCCGGACCTAAGCCAACACGACGAGACCTACACAGGTAACAGATATGTTTCGAGCTGCCCCGGTCCCAAATCCGGGGACAACTTCCCTAGAACCAAGCCACGTGGAGTCCAGGTACTACATTGGCATCGGCGACTGCTCTTCGGGGCTCTCGTCTTAACTCAACTTCAGGCAGCAAGGGGAGTTGGAGAATCGAGGGTTGAGACCCACACCAGCGGGGTCTCGGGAACGGGATGTTCACCACCAGGTCTTACAACTCCGACCCGTGAAGGCGCTGGCACAGCTACTCCATACAATGCCCGATCCCCAGATGCTCTTGTGTACCCTTGGAGTGCTAAAAGAGCATATCGTCGAGCTCGCGCACGAGCTGCTAAAGGACCCACCATGTACAGAGGTTCCCTGTGCAGTGCCAGTGAACTGCAAGCACAGTACGGCAAACCACTGCCCCCGCGCGAGCCCAGATCTACTTCGACAGCACAACAAGGGAGCCGTGGCCGGCCCCGCACCACCGCCAGGCACCCGGCCACTCGGGTTCAGGTTCTTACCTTCAATGTGTCTGGCTTGTCCAGTGCAATGTGGCAGGAATTTCAGGCCTGGCTCAGTACAGCTGAAGCACTGCGATTTGACCCTATTCTCCTTCAGGAGACTCACTGGACGAGCTGGTCAGACTTCACCTCAGGTAAGTGGCACTGTGTTGGCACACCCATTGCCGATAAAGACAAATGCTCAGGTCTAGCGACACTTGTGCATTCGAGGCTGGGCCCCTCCGAAGCTATACAGTGCAAGACGTACTTGAAGGGACGGGTCCATCATACCAGGATCCACCAGCAATTCGGAGCAATAGACGTGATAAACGTCTATCAGCACGTCTGGCGCAGCCACCACACAACGGCCCAGAACCAAGCAGCCAGGACCTCAGTGTATCGTGCGATTGGGCAAGCCTTAGGTTCCTGCCCCATGCGACATACATGCATTCTAGGCGGGGACTTCAATGCAGAGGTTAATGAACTTACACCGCATGTTGGCAGAGCTCTCCTGAAGAAGCGGGGGCACGACGGAGACAAGGACGCAGGCGAAGGCCTGCCGGAGCTCCTGCAAACCCACGGGCTCTGTCTCCTGAACACTTGGCACGGTAGGAACAAGGCCACCAACCTTACAAGTGGGGCCCTTAGCCAGATAGACTTCGTTGCCGTTCGCGTACAATGGGCTGATCGACTGGCTAAGCAGAGCGACTCTCTACCAGCATGCCCCGTCGGAGCCTGGAAAGCCAACCGGCACTTCCCCGTACAGGCCTCCATCAAACTGGTGTCACCTTGGCACCTGATTCGGCAGCCGAAGCCAGCCGGTGCAATGATTGACAAAGCTGCCATGCAAGACTCGATCGCCAGGCAGGACACCCGGGCCCAACAACTCCGATCTCAGGTTGCACACGACCTGTCCCAAATCCCAGACGCATTGAGCCCTGGTGAGCTTACAGTCAAGGTAGACGGTATCCTGATTCGAAGAGCTGAACAGATGTACCCAGCCCGAGGCCGGGAAGACCGACGCGTAAGCCAAGACCCCCAATTTACTCTTTTAACCAAAGAGCTGTGGAGTCTTTACAGGTCGTATCGGTCCATAGGCAGATGCAATAGGCAAAACATCCTTCGAAAATGGCGGTTGTGGACCCAGTTTAAGCGAGCATCCAAACAGCTGAGGGACCGAGCCAAGAAGATCAAACGACAGAAGATCCAAGACATCATGTGTGAACTGGAGCAGGCGGCCAAGCGAGGGGACCAAGGAAGCACCTATGCTGCCGTTCGCAGACTGGCCCCCTGGAAGCCAGTGGCAAAGCCCAGCATCCGTGGGCCGTCAGGCGAGCTCCTCACGCCAACACTCCAGTTACAGGCTCTAACGGTGCACGCCCAGGACAAATTCTGCAAGGGCACTGACTACCGTCCGACAGGAGTGCTCCTGGAGGGTCTCGCCATCACGAGTGATCAACTTCAGTCTGCCCTTAGCAGGTTGCCGATTCGGAAGGCAGCGCCGCCGGGAGCGGCACCGTCTGCTTTATGGAAAAACAGCGCCGAGGACCTAGCCGAGACCTTCTTTTACCCGGTCACCCACATGTGGAGCTCAGGTCAAACTGGAAGTGCACCCTCCATCTGGAAAGACGCCAATATGGTCTGGATGCCGAAGCCCAATAAGGATCCCAGCCTGCTAGCCAATCTTAGACCCATTGGGTTGGTACACCCCATGGGCAAATCCATCTGCACCCTGCTTAGGTCCCGACTGCTGCCCGTCCTCACACAGGCATTGATTACACGCCCGCAGTTTGCGTATGCCAAAGGCAGATCCACTTTGGACGCCTTGTTGCGAGCACATGGGCACCTCACTCGGACACGCCAGGAGATCGAAGCTCAGCGTACATCCATTTATGCAAGACATTCAGGCCAGGAGCCCAAATCTTGCTTTGGCGGCATTTGCTTCAGCCTAGATCTCAAAGGTGCTTTTGATGCGGTTCCGAGGCACAGGTTGGCCGAGTGTCTGTTCAGACTGCAGGTGGAGCCGGATCTAGTACATCTCATCATGCAACAACAGCACCAGTCACAGTATTGGACAAGGATCGGAGCCGATATCCGGCCCGTAATGCCCACCCAAGGCATAAAGCAAGGTTGCAACATCGCACCCTATTTGTTCATTGCGTATACCATCCTGCTCATTGATAAAATTGGCGGAGAGAGCACACCACACAGATGGACGGAGGATGGACTCACCTGGTACGCGGACGATGCCTTCGCCGCCTGGAAAATCCAAGATGCTGCAAGCCTTCGCCAGGCGCTAGGGGACATCCAGCTTATTATTGCAGTCCTTGAGGAACACGGCATGGCGATCGAACCAAGCAAATGCGCTGTGCTGTACAACCTGCAAGGCAATGAAGTCAAGAAAATCCTCAGACATGCTAAGGTGAGACGCCAAGAGCAAACTTACCTTCTGGCCCGGGAGTCTCCTGAAACATTGGTGCCGATCAAGAAACAACATGAATACTTAGGCACGATCCTGGCCTACCGGGACCCACAGACACTTACCTTGCAACATCGGCTCAGCAAGGCCCGGGGACAGTATGCACTGCTGCGGAAAACACTTCATGCCAAGAGGCTTGTCACACGCAAACACCGTTATCGCATATGGAAGGCAGGCGTCCAGGCCAGCGCATGCTACGGGTTGCTAGCCACCGGCCTCACCGTCACAGGCCGTACACAACTTCTCGCCATGTCGGCCAGGCAGCTTCGTTCAATAGCAGGCCGCCCAGCACATCTAACGCACGAATCCAATGCTGAGATTAGGAACCTGTTCGACTGTGTCGAGTGGACCGAAGATCTGCTCACGTTGGCTAAGAACCGGCTCGCCGAACTTCGCACACTGCAGGAGACACAACCTGAGAACATTGTTACCAGGCCCCAGGCACTGCAACAGCTGACACATGCCATGGAAACCTTCCAGCAGGTGATTCCGATAGAGCGGCCCAAGCAGGACGGCGTGGAGGGTATAGGCGTGCCGTGTCCGGTTTGTGGGGTTTATTTTGATAACCTGACTAGCGTTCGCAAACACCTTAGGCGAAAACACCCCGAATTCCAGAGGCCAGAAATCAAGTTCGACCCGGCCGAACATGCCATTGGAGGCCTGCCGCAGTGTGCCGGATGCAAGCACAGGTTCCAGAGTTGGCAGGCGCTTAAGACCCACATTGAAAAAGGTCAATGCCACCAGCAGGGAGAGAACAACCTGGAGCCGAGTACCGGCCCTGCCCAGACTACAGCCCCCCCTCCGGATAACCTCACCCCGGCAGCCCAGGCCACAGAGGAGCAGCCACGATTGCCACCGCATCGAAATCTTCAAGTCGCGGCCTTGATTCGTGACCAAGGGTGGGAAGCCCTGGTGCACAGCGAACATGCAGAGGACTTAAAACAGCACTGCTGCATTTGTGCCCGATGGATGGTTGACACAACGTCCATCAAACGACACATGCGATACTCCCATCCTGAAATTTGGAAGCAGGTCTCGGAGCGGCTCGAAAGCACCTGCTCTGTCTTCAAGCCCCGGCTCACGCGAGACGGTATCTGCCCGTACTGCCAACGCACTTCCTACAGTCGTCACTTTAAGCAGTGCTGTGTCATACTTCAGTCTGCGATCCTTGGACTCATTCCCAGCCATGGCGACAACCCAGGAACAGATCCAGATGTTCGGCTACCTGCTGCCGGGTCTGAGCGAGTCCAACAAGAGACCTCCAGCCACGCCGCAACAGCAGAACAACAAGGGAGACGAGTCCGGCAAAGGCGGGGGCAAGAGACGACGCACACGCCGAGGACAGGGGGGACAGGGGAGCCGAAACTCGGCCCCAGCGGAGGCACTGACGAAGGACGGCGGCAGGCTCCTCAATCTGATCTCGCGCATCCTGCTCCAGCACGAGGACAGCATCAACGCCGCAAAGATGGATCGGGGCTTCACGGTCTTCATGGCCCAGACGGGACCGGCAGGACTACTCACCAGCCTCTACAATGCAAGTATCGCTTGGAACCAGGTCAAGGACAACGAGCCGGCGAAGATCACGAAACCGCTACGGATCACACTGCTAACCCTGATGATCGCGGAGCTCAAGGTACGCCTCCAGAATCTGGAAAAGAAGCAAGAAGCCAAGCAACTGGCCATCAGTGCAGGATGGCTCGACCAGCAAGACCGGCTTCTGTACCAAAAGTGGGACGCAGAGAATGCAAAGCTGGTACCTCATCCCACGATGCCGGGCCTCGTGACGACAGAAGTGATGCAAACCTTGACGGAGATCGAGCCGCTCATCCTGGAATCCTTGGTGCTGCGTTTCCATGCGCCGCGCAAGATCAAGCCCACACCGGAGACGGAGAACAAGGCGGTCTTCAAGTTGGAGGTTTCTCTCAGAAGCACAGAAGCGGATCAACTTTACCAGAGCCTCGCGAAGCTGGAGAACAATGCAGTATGGCAGCTCATAGGGTGCCAGCTCAGAAAGGACGGAATGCGCCGATCCAACCCAGTGCAAGAGCTGATGAAGCTGCTCAGCCAGGAAGGCCGGTCACCAATCATGTGCAACACTTGATCCTGCAAGCCTCCCTCCACAATAGCTCCAACACGTGCTATCTCAATGCCTTTCTGCATGCACTTATGTGGCAGGTGACAATGATGCAGAGTGAACTTGCTTTGCCTCAGGCTTGGCTAAACGCCATTAGTAAAGCAGAAACCAAACCGCTTGCTCTTCTCAGGTTCCACCTGCTGGGGTGGGGACAACCACATGTGCAACACGATGTGGCTGAGCTTGCATCGCATCTGCTTCGAAGCCTGAGCTGGGTACCCAGTGTAGTTTCGTGGTGCCGTCGAGTGCAGGTGGACGGGGTTTACCAACACCTGCAGCCAATGCAGGACTCCCGATTGTTAATCCTCGATCCCGCCACTGGTCTGCAAACACCGATCCTACAGGAAACGATCACCTCCTGGCACGGGGTCATCGCGGTGCAGGCACTTATTGAAGCACCACAAATGCTGTGGCTCCAATTGCCGAGGTTTGTGCAAACCGGAGCCCGGATTCAGAAAGCTAAGCAATCCATCCACTTGGATGTCCAGCACCGTTGCATCCGTATACCGGTGTTCGCCTCAACCGATGCCTCAAGGGATGATTCAATCAATTGGTGTGACTACCGAGTGAATGCAGTGATTTATCACCTAGGCGCAACAGTCAGTGCCGGGCATTATCGCACCATGCTGTTCCACCCGCAGGCAAACGGGGGCTGGCACACCGATGACGGAAAGCCAGCTGCTTGGTGCAAAGCCGTGCCGAAACAAGTTGAAAGGAACTGCTACCTGGTGTGTGCGACCAGGCTGGTCAGCAGTGAAGGGCGCTGACGCAGCTAGGGTAGTTTTGGTAGTTTTGGGAGCCGTTCTTCGGCCCCATGCAGTACAAAGTAGGGTCAGCGCTCAGTGCGCTAGAGTTCCGTCCTGAGTAAGACACTCGTGTCCTCAGGATACGGGGTAGGGGACACTTAGTTTGCTGCCACTGAGCAGCCGTGGCGAAAGGTCACGTAGTTCGCTAGACAGAGAGACTCTCGTCTGCGGTTGAAAGTGGAAAAGATGGACCAAGCCGGGGCGACTCTACAGATGCCTTGGCCGTGTGCTCTGCTAAGACGAGGTACAACTATCCTTGCGATGAGGGCCTCATCAAGAGGCTGCTTTCAGCATGATGCTCCGCCTGGGCTCACTCACTCGGGGCACCTAGCCAATCGTCGGGGGGATATTGTGCCCCGTAGATCTCGTTGGCCTTGTGCCGAGGTCGGGGCCAAACCAGATTTGTTTCACGAATTCCCCCGATCGGCTTTGCGGCCAAAAAAAGTGTGAGCGACAGTGAGGGCATTTCCACATGTCAGTCATAACATATGTGGCGATTTGTGGAGATACATTTTATACATTATGGTTTGATTTCAATTATATGTTTCGGATTTATCCTGGAGCTTAGCGCCTCCCATTGGAACAATCCATATTTTGAGTTGCCCCAGTTTCGTATAATTAGAAGAACCGTTCCGACGTGTCGGTAGCGCTTTCTAAGTAGGCGAAACTGTAGGCTCGCGTAGCGAGCCGGGGCGACTCTAGCAACATGTACAGTTTTGGTACTAGGGACCGTCTCACTTTGAAAATTTTTACATGTCTATTTTCACGGTGAGTTTTTCATGAATGATTTTTGCTTTCTCGGCATGCGGAGTCTATCGTCTTGCTCTGATCTCATTCAGCATGGCCGCGCTCGCCCTCTCAAGCATCAGTGGGGCGGGCTTATCATTCACAGACACAGACACAGACACAGACACACACACACACAGACACACACACACACAGACACACACACACACAGACACACACACGCACACACACAGACACACACACACACACACACACACACACACACACACACACACACACACACACACACACACACACACACACACACACACACACACACACACACACACACACACACACACACACAACCACACACACACACACACACACACACCCCACCACACACACACACACAAACACACACACACACAAACACACACACACAAACACACGCACACACACAAACACACACACACACA